AGAAACTAATTTTTATATTTCTAATACTAGTGGATATTGTGTACGGTAGTAAAAAAAATATTGTATGCAGCTCGTGTGTAAAGTCCCTTTTTTGACTTACGTGATTGTCGCAAAATCTTTATTATATGCTTTGATGAGCTTAAAATGACTTCTTAATTATCAGACCATTCCATCAGTTAACTTATAACTCAGCTTTGCGTAAGTATAGTCAGTAGCTCAGATTCTGTAAAAGGACCCTTGTTTCCTTTTTTACAATATTACCATTTCGAGTTACACAATAAATTTACACGATTACTACTTAGAAAAAGTGGTGATTATTACAAACTAAAATGGGCAATCAATTTATTTAAATCGGAAGTACCCTTACCTTTAGATACACAACAAGAGCATGCAGAAACTTTAGGGTTAATTTTTTACCAAAAACTGGAAAATCGGACAGAAAAGTTCGTAGGAAGAATACGTTAAATGTCTTTCGTACTCAAAAATGTAGAGACGGCATATTGGTTTCAAGAATAACACGCCTATAATGCAGAAAAATTAACAGAAATAGTAAAAAGGGTGAAAAGCACACTGGAAAATATGGAGATAATATTAGAAGCTTTCTTGAACATCGAAAAAAAATTTAACAATATCTTTATCGACTCTATCGTCGAAAAGAAATCGAGGACATATGATTTATCAAGATTGTCTCTATAATAAAAGAAACATTAATACATGCAAACTATATGGGTAGGACAAAAACAGCCCAAGTTACAAGGGAATGCCCACAGGAAGGAGTAGGGTAAGGAGGAGCAAAGTGAAATGGTTAGTGCTTCAGGTCACTATGCCACTTACCCCTGCCTATTATTACTCGCAAGCGAAGAAACCCCTTTATGACATAAACTTGCCCCCAGAAACTATCGTTTTCTTTTATAAATCTGGATAGATGCAAGGGGAAATTTTTAGTGATATTTGGTTTCCTCATTTTATAAAACATACGCATCCTACTGAAAATAATCCGGTCCTCCTAATATTAGATGAACATTTAACACATATCACATATTTAGTTTTATTGAGTAAGCCAGAGTACAACATGTCCATATCTTAATAATTCCACCTCATAAATCACATAAGCTTCAACCGCTTGATGTCAGTTTCATGTATCCATTAAATAATTATTACACTCAAGAGGTTAGGACCTGGCAGAGAAACAAATCGAATAAATTGGTTAAGTTACAAGATGTAGGCCAAATATTTGGTAAAGCCTATGCCAGAGCAGCAACACTCCTCAATGCTAAAAGTGGTTTTAAGTGAACTGGTATTTTTCCTTATGATAAAACCAAATTTGTGGGCATTGATTTTACACCCTTACGATTAACAAAACGACAAAATACATTTGACCCAACCCCAGATGATGTTTTAACAATAGTATTACCTCTTCAACCAAAGGCGATTAACTGTGAACTCGAGACTCCTTTCACTTCAAGGATTCAAATTCCTCAAAAAAATGTGAACCATTATTTAGAAAATCCAACAAGTGTTAAAGACAAGCATACAACCACGATGACTGCTACTAATTTAACAATTTATTGTCGCTTATTTTAAACCGCAAGCAAAGCTTTACAAAAACACCACTTTTAAAGGAAATAATGTCTCCAACTAATATTCTTCCGTTGCCTATAGTAGTGCCTAGAAATTTGAAAAAATCCATAAAACGTAGACGTGGTAAAACTGCAATTATCACATCATCCCCATACCTACTAGAGCTAAAGAAGAACTTGGATAAACCAACTTCAAAAGCAGTAAAAAATGTTAAACGAAAGTTGTGTGAAGAACATAATGCTAGGAATAGACAGAAAAAATCAAGAAAGTCTAGCAAAATATCTACAGATTCGAATAGTTCTACGAAAAAGCCCACAAACTACTGTCAGGATTCTGACTCTGAAGAATCCATGTCCTTAGATGCCAAAGACATAACAGTGTTAAACAAAGACAAAGAAAATGAATTTGCTTTGATACACAAGCATATCGATCCAGAATATTTTGTATTGGCACCCTAACAGAAATCACAAAGGGAACTAGAAGGAAATTTGTTGGAAAAATTAAAGGGCAGTGCTTGGAAAGAATTAATGATGAAGTTGCTTATGATATAATCTATATGCGAAACTATCGTAATCACCATGACTCATTTGTCTTTCCAGATCTACCTGATGAGAGTATCATAGTAGAAAGTGGGATTTTAGGCGTTCTGATAAATTTTCATTCTTTTTGTCATGTGATAATTAAATCTTCCTAATTATATTTTGTTGATACTTTTTAATTTTTAAATATATTTTGTGACGCATTGTGAAATGTTTTTGTATTTGTTTTATTACATTTGGTTCTTTATAATGTATTGTAAATTATTTCTACCTTGTCATATTACCCCACTCATTATTTCACTTTACTTTACCTTCCATTTCACTTTACCCCACCATAGGGGACAAAGTGAAAATAAGACTCTTCGGAAGACATGCATAATAAGAAACTTTTATATATTATCATTTTTATGTTTACATGTAACTGTTCTAAATTCTGCAACCACCAGATAGTTTTTTTTAATAAAATTCTGCTTTGATAAATGGCTAATTTATTCAACTTAAAAGATAAGCTATTTCACTTTACCCCTCCTTTCCCTACTGTCTTCATTCTTGTAAATCCTAGTCTTAAATATGCTGCTTAGCACTACCAAAACTAATAGACCAAAAACTCTGAAATATACCAATCAATGCACTTTGTAAATACAAAACTACAGTTAGATATCGTATGTAAGAAGCTCTTAACCATAGTATCAAAATAGATAAAAAATTAAGGACTAAAAATTAGTCCCATTGAATCTACCATTACTGCATTCACGCGCATGAGAAAACTTAAGAGACCAGAACTTCATAATTTCGAAAGTCTAACTAAAATATATCGAGGATACAATTGACTCTAAACTTGTATCAATTCAATATTTAAAAATAACAACAAGGAAAGCAAAATGAAGACCCTCCTTAAGACTAAAATATGGATTAAAACTAGGAATGAAATAGTTGATACACAATATAGTGCTAAGATCAATAAAAAAATACGCAGCTTTAATGTAGTGACCAAGGACATATAACAAAGAGCAGCAATAACTACACTCAGCAAGATTCAAAGGCTTGTCTTGGAATTACGCAAACATTGAGTACAACCCAGACAGCACCAAATCAAGCCGCCACGTCACCTTTTGATATAGGTTAGGTGCTTACATACTATATAACGTTCTGGGAAATCTTAATATTAAACCAGATCACTTAAATATTCCAAGGTTAGTGATAAAAGACAAAAATATACCACAAAATAAAGCATTATTCCTTTGATACTCCATTCGATGTTTTGCCAAACAGAAAATGGAGACCACCATAAGGAATTGCAGTGTCCAACGAGAGGAACATAGACTAAAAAGACACTGGGGTTAGAGTATTCTTCAATAGGAAAAAATACTACAGTATTTTAGTTTAGGGTTTATGCAATCTTGCTCAAACACCCTTTCTAGGACCTGAGCCGTTCTGCGGTATCAGCAGTAACATAATATTAGAATAAAAAAAGAATTAGGCAGTAGAAGAACCAATAATTGGAACAATATCTTAAGGCTGAGACAGGCTAAGATACTTCTGGATGAATATAACCAGGAAAGATCGGAAGCTTGCATCTGCCTGAGCAAGAACAGGCTACGTATTGTAACAGGGATCCTTACTGAGCATTGCCGATTAAAAGGACACCTTAGTAAACTGAGATTAGTAGAAGACAGTAAGTACAGATTCTGTGAGGAGGAGGACGAAACCTCTATTTACATTCTAACTGAATATATAGCACTCTAGAATCTAAGGGCACTATACCTAGGAGCATATCAAATAGCAGAGGGAGATTTACCTAACTTAAAATCAGTCTAAATCCTACACTTTCTTGAAAAGATAGAACTGAAATTATCGTTATAGGCATTAAGACATTTCATTGCTGCATTAGCGACAGAAGGGGGCACAATAGATCTTTTAGGTCGCAGTGTATTAACACCCCATTCCCAACATAATATAAGGAAATATTGCAATGAAGTTTTCTTGACACACTTAAGAAAGGGCAGTTAAACTTGTGGTAGAGTTATTAGTAACTGATCCAATAGGGCGCGATTGAGTCATAAGCTCATAAGGAATACCATATTTTCCAAGGAAGTGATGCCAAAGTTTAATACAAAAAACAATTAGGTATAAAAAAATATTACATTATAATATTGTATGTTTTTTAAAAAACTTTTTTTTGGTTCTCTTCCCATAATTTTTTTTTCTATTTCTTGCGTAATTGGAAAAAAATTGGAACGGAAAACAAAAATTAGGTATTAAAGAGAATAGAAACTAAAGTTATTATACCCTTTTACATTATTGAAATCAAAACAAAATATATTAGGACTTTGCGGGGATGGACATTTTTTTCAGAATTTTTAATTTCTTCAGTTATCTCATTCTGAAATTCGTTGTTTTGAGACCTGTTGCATTTCTTTAAGTAATATTTATTATTAACGCTGCATCCTACTGAGTATGCCTCAGTAAAGCTAAACCTGAAAAAAAGGCGTGTAAAATGTTTACATATCATGTTGAATTTGTCACAAAGAACCAGAAGTAGCCATACACATACTGTGCGATTGCAAAGCACTAGATCGAGAATGACAGGCATTTTTTGGATAACTGCAGGTTGATTCAAAAACCTATAGACCATACCCTGTCATGGTCTTCTACAAACTTGTACAGGGGACAAAGGTAACAAAGTCGGTACTCTCAAACATGGCTCAAATAAAATAAGCCAATATACTTCAGTATTTTTAAAGACTAACTCAAACGATCCCAGCTAAAGTAGTTTCAGAAAAATAATAATGACTTTCAACATTAACCATTGTTAATATTACTTTTTTGTTTATCTTTTATAAATAATAATTTAATTATTATAAAAAAATATATACTTACTATAATTTTGTTGTTTATCTTCAATTAGCTAACATCTAAATCAACTAAGTCCAAATAAATGATTTAATTTATAGTTACTCCACACTTCAGATTTCATTTATCAAAAAAAAAATTATCTCAACAAATAAAGGTTGATCAGCTACCTACTTATACTACTGCATTATTGCATAACTGTATTACTTTATTCCTGCTTAAAAAAATTCTTATCCCATTTTTCACACATATTCTCTAGTTTTCTTTATGTTGCCGATTAGTCTAAATCGAAGGGAAAACAATTACCCTAAATTTTTTACACCTACATCCTTGTGGTAGAACTAAATTCTTATAAATCCTCATACGTTCTTGTAAATCAATAAAAATTTTCAAAAATCTTCATAAATCATGCATACATCCTCATAAATCCTCAGAAATTCTTCATACATCCTACATCCTAGCTTTTTTCCCAAGATAGCTGGCGGTAACACACTGCATTCAGATAAAAGCTCAAAAAATCTTAAAAACCAGCATCTTTATTGCAACAAAAAAGTGGAAAGTGATGTTACGTCTAAGAAGCGTGTATTTTTCATCTAGCATATATATGCCAAGCAGCAGATCAAAAAAATGCAGTTTAAATTCATAAAAGCACAGAAGATCTGCAGGTAACCTCAAATAAGGATCGAGATGAGTTCAAAGTTTTGAATATTGTGATCCAGGAGAGGCAAAGTAAAAACCAAATCTTGGAAGAACGTGTTGTTCTCCCGATGGAAAAGATTAGTGTTTTGAAAGAAATGCTAAAAGATCCGCAGGTAAACAAATTCACGTGATCCAAGGGAATAGAGAACATCAGCAAATTGCACAGAGTTTCACCAGTAAGGAAATGACAGCTTTATAAGCACAACAAGCATTGCAAGCTCCGGTGCTCAGGCCAAAAACCCCAAAGGAAATTCTAAAAAGTAAAAGCCCTTTCGTAAGTAGGTCAAATGAACCTAAAACCCCAGTAGTAACTGGGCTAAGCGTCACAATTTTGACTGCTGGCGTTATGGATACTCTCACTAGTGTCACAAAAGTAAAAAGCCAAGTTGATACAGAAAAGGTTATGGAAGATAATGTAGATGGTTAGCAAAAAGTAACCCGTAATGATATTTCATGGGCATTATTAAAAATACCCGGCCTAAAACAATAAAGGGCTCGAGCAATGAAAAAACAACAATCAACTCGACACAAAAATTATTCATCTTTCTATTGGGCCTTGCACCCGAGGTGTAGAGCTACGTATCTAAATAGAACCTGAAAGAATGCAGCTGTACAAAGATGAAAACCAAGCTCGTGAGTCAGCATACATATTTAATGTAGTTAACAACGTCGCCAAGTGGTTCTTTTCCTGTATTGGCCGGTGTTAGCCGATACTCGCCGAATCCAAATCTTCTAATAAATGAGAGTTTCAAGCAATCGTAAAGGATATGCTCGATGGAACTTCTTGTTCGCACCCTCTGCAGAGTGCGGATTCTGACAGTCCCATGATATGGAGATGCTTCCGTACTTAGCAATGACCAGTCAGAATGCCTGTGACTAGGCGCAGATTCTGTATAGTCAGAGTCAATTATTTGTTTGCCGCAGAATTGTCTGGATAACTTAAGTGCTCCATGGCAACTTTGCAGTTTCTTGTTTCATCCCATCTTTCCTTAAATTTCATAAGGGAATGTTTTTTAATTAGGTCTGTCACTACCGATTTTGTTAAGCTAATAGAAGGACCAGGTCCAAAAAGTATTTGATTAGCTGCTCTCTTGGCTAGTAAATCAGCAAGACGGTTACCTTTAGAAGTGGCGCAACCTTTGATTTATTTTACGGTAACCTCATTGGTGATGGATACTTGCGGTAATAAATTTGACAAAGCTATTAATAAAACTTATCAGGAACTAAAGAACTGTATCGAAGGCTATAAGAACTTTCCTTTGAGTATGAGATGCTGAGATTTGAGATACTAACATCACAAACGTATAATTTTAAGTTTATTATTTTGGTAGGTATATTATGTAATAATATAAATAATATAATTCAAAACGTTTATTAAATAGAGAAAATTTAAAAATCATTTCAACTAAAATAATTAGATTTACAACACTGGATATAAAGCATATGCAGCAATTCCACATGCATTATTCTTATTTCTTGGCATCCACACGTATCCGTCCTTGCCATATGATGCACCCCAAGAATTTTTTACAATCCAGTAGTCCTTCTCGTTGAAAATACCATATCCAACAACCAATACACCATGGTTCAAATGATATGAGTCAGATACGCATGATGAATCATCTAAAATTCCTAAAAGCATAATAATAAAATAGTATTATTTATCAGCTCATTCTTATTAAAAAATTGTTTTTATAAAAAAGAACATAGTATAGAAAACAATTAGTAATGCGCATCAAAAGATCCCGCACACCTCGTATGAAAAAGTGGCTAACTGTTAAATTATCCAATTCTTTGACTACAGGGTGATTTAATAAATATATTGATCCACTATAACTCATGAACGGATATAAATAAAAACACCAAATTTTAAACTTTGGTCTTATTCCGGCCTTCAGTGAACTGATTAGATTTTAGGCAGAGCCGGAAAATCTGGGGGGGGTACTTTATAGAGAGTTGTTTTTATATTTTATGGAATATATTAGTTATTTTTGTTTGGAGAAGAAAATTGCTTAAATAAAAGTTATTTCTAATGTTATTATCTTAAATTTTTATTCTAAACAAAATGTTTCTAAAATGGTCCGTATTCGAGAAATTCTTTCAAAATGTAAAAAATTCAGATTTTTAAAAAATTTGTTGAGAAGATGTTTGCGATATCGATCTCTATAATTTTTGTGTGGAACGTAATGGAAAAATTGAAGGAAAAGTGTAAATTTAAATTTTTCAGAATATTCGTAGGCAATGAGTGTATATAGATAAATGTTTCGAGTTAGATGTATACATATGGAAAATGTATATATTAAGTTAATCTCTAAATATTTACAAAGGTGCTACAATAGGCTGTACAAAATAACCGATAAAAGCCTGTAATAACTAGATATGAAAATCATGTGTTGGACACATCAGATTTTTAGTATTCTTAAAAAAAAGAGAAGATATTCTTCTCTCTGACATATATCTCTTTGCACACGTTACCGTTTAATAATTATATATGGCGACGGTATGCTAAACGTGGACGTCACATACATATCTTTTGAATTTAAACTTTATTACAGGCTCAATATTGAAATGAAAGTCCAAACGTATTTAAGTCTTTAAAGTGTGCTAATATAAACTATAATATAATGTTTTTTGCAGACGTATAAAAATGATCGAAATCTGGATCTGTCAAAATTTCTTGAACTACAAACATGAATATGCGAATGATCCTAGCAAAATAACGTCGCCTGACAAACATTTTTCTCCTTGTGAAAAAGAGTACATATCAGAGGTTTTGCTTGAGAGTCGCATTACTAATTGTTTTCTATTCTGTGATAAAAGTTTGACATCAAAAATTTTTATCAGAAAAAGTGTTTTACCCCAACTGTAGAATTGAAAATCATGTCCTGCGTTTATAGCTACAGCTACTGGTTGTCTAGCAACAGCCTTCTTTAAAGCATCTTCGCTACCATTAGTTACAAAAATATGTTCTTTGGGTTTCAATACAGATTCCGATACATTGAATTGGCATTCTGTACTGGCTACCTCTTTATAAGGGTAAGCATCTTCTCTCATAATCCCATTTTTCTCGGCGTACTCCATAGCTTTGCCCATCCAACCACCTTTGCAACCATAGCAGTCATCTTTAGCACAATCAACGAGGTTCTGTTCACTCAGAGAAACGAGTTTCCCTGTTTTTAAAAAATATGCTCCTTCAAGTGCGCCAGTCTGAAAAAAAAAATATTTGCAAATATTAGGTGAATCATAATTATTTAGAAAGAAGCGTATGTTCTACATAAAATTATAGAAAAAATAAACAAAAATACTATATGAACGATATTTCAATGAGCCAAAGATAATTCCGTCCAAATCTAAGGTTTAAATAATCTTATTTAAGCTCCGAAATAAGATATCTTCATCGCAATATAATGTCCAAAACTCGTTTCTTTTTAATCGACTTAAAAAAGAGAAAGTTCTATATTCATTGTGGACCTTTTTGTGTATGTTCGCGAAATTCTCGGGAACCACTTTATTTTAATGTTTTGGGCTCATTTTTTTCTCCAAGTTGGTCCCAGTTCATAGAGGGTAGATAATTTATTTATTATTAATTAACTGTAATAAATTTAATTATTTTTTTCTTTTTACTGAATTTTTTGAAAAGTCTGTTTTATTTTTTTTTTGTTAATATTCAAATACAGGTGTTTTTTAGATACTTACTTAGATATAATATTCTTAAAAATATAAGGTTATCAGTAGAAACAATAAGATTTTTAAAATTTTAATCAATAATAAAGAATCATTAATTAACATAGATAAGTTGAAAAGGTTTCTTTTGTATTAAACCCAATAACTTATGTTTAGTTTATTTTTTATTTTATGTGGGTTTAATAATTTTTTGATTCTAGTTAATTGATATAAGTGTCATATTGAGGATTCCATATAATACTATTTAAATACAACATATACAAAGTAACATGGAGTGTTCTAATTAGAAAACCTAGCATTTTATTTGCTTTTTTAGAAATATAATTATAGAAAACTGAACAGTGTATTAAAAATCATGTTGAACAGGTGCATTACTTACGGTACTGAATGACCAACAGGACCCACAGTTTCCTTGATTTTTTACTTCAGTTACTGCTCCCTTAGTTCTCCAGTCAATTCTATCTGGAACATCATCATCATTATCGATTGTATCCTCAAAATTTTTAGTTCTTGCTAAAGCTATTGGTCTGTTCATCTCTGAAAGTTTTTGCCTCTCAAGAAATTCGTCACCGGTTAAATCACCAAACATATTCATCCCCATTTTGAAAGAAGATAGTCCTTGCTCGAATTTTGCATTATGTTCTTCAATTCTACGTAAATTTGATTGAAACACTGAAAATCGGAAAGATTCTTCAACTGAGTTTTTATAAAATTTACCATGAGTTTTCTAAAACAAAAAAACAAACACAATAGTAGGTTAGAATTTATTTTGACATTTAGATACTATATACGCCTACGTATTATGAAATAATGTATTGTAAACAAATTATAATTTTCCACAAGCGCAAAAAATGTGTGAGACGACTTGTCACAAATCAAGCGAGCGGAAATAGTATTTTGTGTCCTAGGTCGTCCAAGTGCGATAAGGATGAGAATATAGTATATTTTCCTACGACTCACTATAGAAAATTTACATAATTTTAAAAATGAGTTTAGGTGTTACAGAAAAAATAACTATTTTAAAAATAATTTCGAATTTTATTAATTTAATAAATAAACTTTAAAAAACATAGTCTCAACAAGGATCTAAAACTTATTGCTCTTATTAATTTAAAACCACTTACTTTGAAATGTGTCCATTCTCCATGATCACTTAAAGCAGAAGCAGTTGCCAAAACAGCAAGAAAAAAGAAGACGCTGTACCTCATCTAAAAGAAAACAAATAATTGTAAAGGAACTATAATATATTGATAGGTAATTTATTAATAATATTAATTTACTGCATATACAGATATAAAAATAAAACAAATGCAGTAGTGTGAATCTGAGAGAGCAAAAGAGAACGCTTCAATATAAGCAGAAGGTTATTACAAAGTGTTAAATCGTTGAAATTGATGTAATTATGGACTGTATGTTTCACTGATTCTAATCTTTATTTTAATAGAACAATTACAAATAATTAGCCAAATAAACGTAAAAAAAAAACAGAGCGTTGCAAAAGTCAAATAGTCAATATCAATCAATATAATCCCGCGTTCTTGTTCGGACGGCACATCCATCGCGCCGCGCAGGGTTTTTGGACCGTCTCTTCTTATTGGCTGGCGCAGTGTCGCGTCACACACTGTTGACACCGTTGCCGAGCGTAAGATATATTTATAGTATGTGTTTATCTGCAATGAATGTCTTAAACATACTCCCGCCTTTGAAGGGATGCCTTCAAAATAGGTAAACAGTTCGGTAAGAATAGCACGTTTTAGTTTAAGCACATCTTTAAAGAAAATGATGATAAACAAAGGTTAACATATGTTACTGAAATTGTAATATTTCTTACTGACGTGTATGATATTATCTATACAGCTCTGAAAGAATATGGACATGTTTGTGACATTAAAGCAAAAATTAAATCATATTTAATTTATGTTGTTTCTTTCGATTGGTTTTCTTGTGAAACTCACTCATAATAATATGTATACCTCCATTTATTCGTAAATTTTACAATGAATTCAGTAATGACTACAAAATGAATAAAAAACTGAAAAACGAAAAATAAAAAATTGATGCCTTTTCTTTCAGAATGTCATGTACCTGATTTTATTATTTTTTTTTTATAGAATTAATTTTTGTTTTAGAAAGGCATCACAAAAATTTTGAAAAAATGTAAAAATACAAAAAAAAAACAGAAAAATAAAAAACTACAAAAAAAAATGAAAAACTACAAAAATATTTACAAAAACTAAAAAAATACAAAAAAAATAAAAACTACAAAAATACAAAAAAAATTAAAAATTAAAAACTACAAAAATCTAATCTATTTTTCTGTTTCAGAATGTTCCTGATGTGTTTTTGTGTTTATTTATTTAATTTTATTTAGTTAACAACCAATACTAGGCATTTGGTCACCAATTTATTTATTTACAATAATTTTTATTTTTTTATCTATATAGAGATTGTACTGTTTGTTAGCTGTGACCTTTTTCAGAAAAAACAAAATAAAAGTTGCTGCTCTTCATTTACTGGCTAAAGTTGGCAAGTACTAACAAATTCTTAATTTTTTTATTTATAACAATGTGATAAAGGGATTAATCAATTAAGCTATATTTTTCTAAATTGTAGTTCACCTATACTAAATAATTTAATTGTTATAGTTAACTTCTATTTTTTATAAATTTCTATATCATTAATAGTTAATAAGTTTCAATTTTTCCTCCTCTCGGATTGAAACTTTGCAGTGGTGAGAGGACTAGCAAACTTTAATGATTATTCAATACAGAATGTAAAGGATAACTATCCTTTTATTGTCTGTTTAAAATGAAAAGTAATTTTTAAACTCAAATTTGTTTATTAACTAGAATAGTTTAGTTCTAATATAATTCAAATCAACTATTGCACTATGAGAAATAAACTGAAAGTTTTTTCTATAAACTAATTTTAGACAAATTAAAAATAGATTTTACTTTAATAAGAATGGGCAACATTTTGATAAGAGAAATTGTTCAATAAGATCCAAGTATGTACACTTTTTACTTTCCTATATGTATACAGATATAAGGAAAGTATAGGAATACGTTTTGAGGGCCCCTGAATCCGTTTTGACTATTTTCGCGATGATGTCTGTGTGTGTGTGTGTGTTGTGTGTGTGTGTTGTGTGTGTGTGTGTGTGTGTGTGTGTTGTGTGTGTGTGTTGTGTGTGTGTGTGTGTGTGTGTGTGTGTGTGTGTGTGTGTGTGTGTGCGCGTGTGTATGTGTGTGTGTGTGTGTGTGTGTGTGTGTGTGTGTGTGTGTCTGTAGGTCGCATAACTCATAAACCGATACACAGAAAAACACCAAATTTTAAACTTAAGCTTTATTCTAGCGTCTAATGAACTGATTAGATTTTGGGCAGAGTCGGAGGGGGGGTACTTTATGGGTGGTCATTTTTATATTTTATGGAATATATCTGTTATTTACGTTTGGAGAAGAAAATTCTTTAAATAAAAGTTACTTCTTATATAATTATCTATAATTTTTGTTTTATACAAAATTTTCCTAAAATGATCCGTATTCGAGAAATTTAACAAAATGTAAAAAAAATAATTTTTTATAAAAATTGTTCAAATCTCTGATAAGAGCATGTCACAAAAATTACTTAGATAACATAGAGAAAGAATTAACAGATAACCCCCAAAATTTTTGGAACTATATTTTCTCAAGGCTTACGCAGAGATATTATCGATTCCTCTAAAACAAATGTTTACATTATCAGTGCAAAAAAACATCTTTCCTGATAAATTTAAAACTGGTCGCATAACACCTATACATAAATCGGGAAATACGAGCCAAATAGAGAACTTTCGTCCTATCACAATTCTTTCCTCTATATCTAAAGTCTTCGAAAGAATAGTTTATAATAGGATCTATTCACATGTGTCACCCGTATTAATTGATGAGCAGCATGGCTTTATCAATAAAAAGTCAACAATTTCAAATTTATGTATATTTAACGATTATGTCGCTAACACTATAACACACAGTCAGGTCGATACAATATATACTGATCTAGCAAAAGCATTTGACAGAGTAAATCATCATGTTCTGATAAACAAATTACAAAACATATTCAGCAACGATCTAACTCGGTTAATAAAGTCGTATCTAACGAATCGTCAACACTTTGTTAGATTCAATGACAGTAATTCGAAACTCTTCATAGCGAATTCTGGTGTACCACAAGGGTCGATTCTGGAACCACTTCTATTTGTCATTTTTATCAATGATATAAGTGATTATATTAAACATTCTAAATTTCTATTATATGCAGATGATCTGAAGCTGTTTAGACAAATCTCCTCTGCAGCTGATGCTGAGTTACTACAAGGGGATATCACAGCAATATCCAAATACTGTCATATCAACGACCTCTCATTCAATATACCTAAATGCAATATAATCACTTACACTAGGAAGAAGAATCCCATCATAACAGATTACAAAATTAACAATACCTTAATAAAGAGAACAAACGAAAGCAAAGATTTAGGGGTGGTTTATTCTTCAAATTTTAATTTTAATAAACATATAACAATATTAACAACAGACTGCTACAGAAGACTCGCATTTATTCTCAGGGCTTGCCATGATTTCTCTACCGAAACATGCAAGGTTCTATATAATGCATTCGTACGATCTAAAATAGAATATGCCTGTATAATTTGGTCACCCAAAACAATCCTTTATAATGATACCTTGGAAAAAGTGCAGAAGCGTTTTGTCAGATCTCTACACCTGAAAAAATATGGAGACTACCCCTTACGTATCTCTTACCAGAGCCAGTTAATAGATTTTAATATTGAAACACTATTTAGCAGAAGGAACAAAGCCCAATTTACATTTATAACACATATTGTATATGGAAATTTTAATTTACCCGAATTACTAGCCTCCATCAATTTCAGCGTACCAGACATTCACCTAAGGCAAAGATACACATTATTTTCCAACAATAATTTATTCTCACCTATTGATAATTCGCTTCAAACACTAGATCGGTTCATGATTAGCAGTAACATTGACCTTTTTAATATGTCTTTCAACAAATTGAAATTAATATTCGATAAACATACATTTTAACAAAAACTATTATAACTTATATAACTCTTAACATAACACATTATATTTTTATTAATTGTATACCATTGTTAAATTTATTTTTAGTTTTAGTAATTATTGTAAGTGTACCAAACTGTATAACATGTAAATGGATTGCATTCTGTTTGTTTTGCAGTATAAATAAATAAATAAATATTTACAACAAGATCTTGTTTCGATAACCGTATGAGTATAATATTTCAATGTCAGAATTGAAAATGTTTACGACACAGAAGTTTTCACAAATGTGGTTATTTAAGTAAATACAGACCCACCCCCAAGCCTATCAGATCTCAATAGTCTTAATGGTCACGAGAGAATCAGGTATAGATGAATTTAGCCAGGTTTCACATATAAAAATTATGTCGGGTGAGTTATACTAAAAAAAACATAAAAAATCATTAAATTTAGCGTTGAGCGAATCTAAACTGGTGTAGAAAAATGTCCAATTAAGAAAGGAAGAAGATGGCGAACTAGTTACGAAAGTATGAAATACTTTTTGGGACACCTTTGATATATTCTATGGTGAGATCAGTTTCTCCTAGCTGATTTCTATCCTTAATTTCTGTCTGGAGATCCTTTAAAACTAGTACTTGGTTTGAAGTTTGATCGCTAATAATAGTGAATTTGTTTGTAGAAGGATTTTCTACAAGTTTTCTTATATTTCGCAGAATATTGCGAGCCTCAAATTCATTCTGCATAACAACTTTTATGATACGGGGAAATTTACGATTGTCTTTCGGTTTCCCGACACGAAAGAAAATGACTGGATTAGCTGTGCAGTTGACAGTATTCAGAACTTCTGCTATCTTGCTTTTATCGTGATCTTTCTTTACAAATAAATCCCCAGCTACTTCGGGAATTCCTCGCTTGAAAAAGTTTTTTGCTCGAGTCATTCTGTTTACGACCTCATGTGCTACTTGGTCAGTAAATTGAGCAGAAGATAAGTAGTCAACTACCAATAACTTATTATTGATTTCTGTGAATTTTGATCTAAAATCATCTAGTTCCTTGAGCATTTCGTTTTTAAATGATTTAAACAAATTTTTAAAATCTCCAAACTTTTCCAGCGTTGCACTGCACCAATTACATAAAATTTTTAATCATTTAGCCCACTTGCTAGTAACACGATCGGTAGCTGCTAGTCCAGTACAGGCAATATGAATGGGCTTTTTGCATCCATAGCACTGTAGTTTCGCTGGGTCTCAATCAGCGACAGTTTTATTACAATTAGCGCATGTGACCTCTGACATGTTAACTTAAAACTTGATAAGACGGTAGGTATATGAAAAAAGTGACCTTATTGGTATTCAGCAGTAATATATTTAAACTAATTCAGTTTTTGTGTCCTATGAAGTCACTTTAAACGTCACTATATGCGACAAAAAATGTTCACTTAGTAGCGAGTATCTAAATAAATTTTCAAAATAAACTTGCACGCAATACTAGTATATTTAGTAGGTAAATAGCGGAGAAAAACTTTTGCATGTTTACACTATCGACCCTCGTATTATTAAAGTTCGTTTAAAAAAAATTGCACGAAGCTATTATTTGTTTTTTCGCCATATTCTTATTAAATATTGATTAAAAATAAATTTACTTACGTTAATTTAATAGGATATTTTTAATAAGCAACCAACTAAATCAACTAAGTTTAAATACATGTGGATTATTTATTTTATAGGTATCTTAATACTTTAGAAATTTTCTTATCAATTGATAATCATCATGAGACACACAGTTGATGAGCTACCTACTTTTGTTTCTTGTTTTGTTTTAAAATTAGTGGTATTTAAATACCTAAAATAAAATTGCATTTAGATATTGATTATTTTTAATACAATTCCTTGATTTTAAATAATTAAAGATTCGTCTGAAGACCTTGCTTTTGGGTCTAAAATATATACCAGCTGATTATCTTTCTCACTTTTCTGAATAAAAATCTGATGTGTCCAACTCATGACTTTCCTATCTAGTTATTATAGGCTTTTTCCGGTTATTTTGTACAACCTATTGTAGCACCTCTTTAAATGTTTAGAGAATAAACTAAATATATACATTTTTCACATACATTTAACTCGAAACATTTTTCTACAGATATTCATTGAAAACGAAAATACTAAAAAATTTAAATTTAGCACTGTTCCTCCAATTTTTCCATTACGGTCCATTTTCGAAAAATCATGAAAAAAAAAATTATAGAGATCGATATCGCAAACAACTTTTAGTTTAACAATGTTCTTAAAAATTAGAATTTTGCACATTTAACAAATTTCTCGAATACGGACCATTTCAGGAAAATTTAACATTTAACAAAAATTATAGAGAATAATATTAGAAGTAACTTTTATTTAAACAATTTTCTTCTCCAAACATAAATAACAGATATACTTCATAAAATATAAAAACGGCCTCCCATAAAGTACCCCCAGATTTTCCGACTTTGTCCAAAATCTGGTCATTTCACGTCAGGCCGAAATAAAACTAAAGTTTAAAATCTAATGGTTTTTCCTCTATCCGTTTTTGAGTTTTCTTCAAAATTCGAAATTTACACATTTTCTCAAATATCTCAAATACGGTCCATTTTACAAAAATAATGTATGGGATAAAAATTATAGAGAATTATATTATAAACAACTTTTATTTAAACAATTTTTATAAAAAATTATTTTTTTTACATTTTGTCAAATTTCTCGAATACGGACCATTTTAGGAAAATTTTATATAAAACAAAAATTATAGATAATATTGTAAGTAACTTTTATTTGAAGAATTTTCTTCTCCAAACGTAAATAACGAATATATTCCATAAAATGTAAAAATAACCACCAATAAAGTACGCCCCCAAATATTCCGACTCTGTCTAAAATCTAATCAGTTCACCGCAGACTGAAATAAAGCTTAAGTATAAAATTTGGTGTTTTTCTTTGTATCGGTTCATGAGTTATGGTGGATACAGACACACACACACACACACACACACACACACACACACACACACACACACACACACACACACACACACACACACACACACACACACACACACACACACACACACACACACACACACACACACACACACACACACACACACACACACACACACACACACACACACACACACACACACACACACACACACACACACACACACACACACACACACACACACACACACACACACACACACACACACACACACACACACACACACACACACACACACACACACACACACACACACACACACACACACACACACACACACACACACACACACACACACACACACACACACACACACACACACACACACACACACACACACACACACACACACACACACACACACACACACACACACACACACACACACACACACACACACACACACACACACACACACACACACACACACACACACACACACACACACACACACACACACACACACACACACACACACACACACACACACACACACACACACACACACACACACACACACACACACACACACACACACACACACACACACACACACACACACACACACACACACACACACACACACACACACACACACACACACACACACACACACACACACACACACACACACACACACACACACACACACACACACACACACACACACACACACACACACACACACACACACACACACACACACACACACACACACACACACACACACACACACACACACACACACACACACACACACACACACACACACACACACACACACACACACACACACACACACACACACACACACACACACACACACACACACACACACACACACACACACACACACACACACACACACACACACACACACACACACACACACACACACACACACACACACACACACACACACACACACACACACACACACACACACACACACACACACACACACACACACACACACACACACACACACACACACACACACACACACACACACACACACACACACACACACACACATACACACACACACACAAACACACACAAACACACAAACACACAAACACACAAACACACACACACGCACGCACACACGCGGATTCAGATTCAGGGGACCTCAAAACGTAAAAATCTATCGAAAACTGGAGGTCGAAAAAAAAATCATGATTCCTATACTTTCCTTATATCTGTATACAGATAGGAAAGTAAAAATGACGACAGCTTGACAGTTTCACACATTTCCAAAATCGACTATCATCAAAATTCATGTGAGGCTAAATTGGTGGCTCTCAACCATTGAGACTGGCCCCCTCGGGCAAACTTGTAGAATTACTGGTTTTTTAATAATTTGAAAGTGCTTCGAGAATTAGAGCGGAAGCTGGATGGAGTCGAGTGTGCAAAATATGAGGATCGCATCGTACATAGTTTTGAACTCAGAATCACTTGAAAATTATGATTTTTGATGTTTCCAGAAATGTTTGTTGTTCCATTTATTTTTAATACCCTATCCCTTTAGATATTAAGTAGATGAACTGAACAGCTGCTTTGGAACCAGTTTAATGATTGTTTTAGTGACAATAGACAATTGTTTCATATTATTAAAGATATTCATATCTGGTCAGTTAAAAAAAAAACAAAAAACTTAAAAATAAAAACAAGAATTGTTGGTAACTTTTAACATAAGTCATACAAATAATAATTTTTTTGACAGTCATTATGATGGTAAAATATTGTAATTGTTGATGTGAGACTCTATCTGATATATAATTACTTTATCCAGAACTTTTAATAACACTGATAAAATTGAAATTGGTCCTAATTCACTAAAGCTACTAATGTTGTTCTTTTAGGCATTAAAAAAACTTTTGTGACTTTCCAAAGGTCTGGAAAAAAGATTCCGTTGTACAGGAATTACTATTATTCGTAATGAAAATTAAAATATACAGATAACACGTAAGGAACATATTAATTTGCAAAATATCAATTCCTATAACTTGCGTTTCAATTTCGTTTAAATACTTATAAATATTATTAGGTCTTTAAAATTATTACTATAGAAAAGTAGCAAATCTTGGTCAGCATCGTCATAGTTACCAGTTGCCAATAAAAAGTGATTGTTTATGTCATTAAGAAAATTTAGGTTTTCAGGTAACTTGGATTTTGCAGGCTTAGAAATTTTATTTAAATTCTTAAGTTTTTACCACATAATGAATGTATTTTGAAAGTTAGATGTAAGAAGGGTAAAGGTTAAAACTATTTTTAAATAATTATTAAAAAGTCTAGAGTTTGGAGGGTTGGCTGGGTTGCAACTAAGGGAAGAGGTGTTAAAGTTTAAGGTTATTGTAAGTATTCATATGTTGGGAATTTTGAGGCTTGAACGTTTGCAACTCAGATAATGTTATTATTATCGGTAATGCATATTTCATACTTATCGATTGATGTGAAGTTAATTACTGTCTGCATCAGCAATTAAAAATTTTGAAAAGTAGATTTGAAAAGTTTCTTCGGTAAGCACTCCAATACTATAAAAGATGTTAAATATTTATTGGTTCTTTATTTACCCGGTATGCTGCTGTGTGAACTAACGTGTCTTTATTAGATATATAGGAGTTAAAATATTTCTTGTCTATTATTATTAGCAGAATAACCTTATTATTAAACCTCAAAGGAAATAATGTAGATTGAAAAATATTTCTTCAATAAATAGACATTTTTTATTCTTAATAATGACATATGTTCCAAGTGCAGTTAACAATTTTAAATAAAAACCCTTATTTGTTAGTTGAATAACTGTTATTTCTTATATGAAGTAAACTGTCATTCATGAACAACAATAAAATATGTAATCTTACTGTTTACCTAAGTTTATAAATAAAAATAATCAAGAATTTTATTAGTGATACTTAAAAACCTCATTTTTTCTACAATATTACACTTTAATCAAATTAATAAATTAAGATTTATTCAATAGATATCATAACAGATATGAAAAGGGGTGTTTAATTATGATAATGTCGGAACTTTTGTAACTTGTGTAATCTTTGAAAACGAGAATATTGGTGGAGGTGGTGGCAGTAATACTCATAGGGGTATTTTCTTGAATAGATAATATTTAGCAATTTCTTCCTGTGTAACAACTGAAAGGTGACTCATTTGTAGATGAACAGTACATCTGTGAACATCTTTCTATTTCAGAATCAAACATCAAGTACCGGAACAACTTTTTAAATCGAGCCAAATTATGATCTTCAAGAAATATTTGAACAAGAACAACCATAATTATATTATGTTTTTGGTACATAGTTTTGTAATGTGCAAATAAGCTGTAAACTAAGAAGATTAAGATATAATTAATATAGCTATTCTTCATCTTCTTAGGACCAATGTTGAATATTCATAAAATAAAGACATTTTACTATTACTTTACCAAAATATCATAATGTTTTTTAATGAAACCCTACTCAATCCTAAGTTCATTTTTAAAAAAACTAATCTTGACTCTCAATAATCAGGCAGTTTTCGAAGACATAATTATTTATTTATTGGAAAATAAACACAATTCAAATCTAGTTTCACATTCCTAGGTACACAATCTTAATCTGCATATATTAATAGAAATCATCTGTCTTCTTTCTTTTGTTTAATTGTAAGTTGGTTAAATTGCAATAAAATAAAATAGTACTCAAATAGAACTGAAATAATATGTATTATTTTGGTAAAAGAAGTAATAACATAAATAGTAAAAATTCAAACGTTTATTTAACAAAGAGAATCATAAAAATTTCAACTAAAATTATCATATTTAGAACACTGGATATAGTGCAAAAGAAGCAATTCCACATTGATTATTCTTATTTCTTGACATCATCACGTAACCGTCCATACCCCATGATTTACCCCAAGAATTTTTCACGAGCCAGTAGTCAAGACCATCTTGAGTACCATATCCAACAACCAATACAGCATGGTCTAAGAAATCTGCTTCTGTTTGACAATCTGCATCATCCAAAACTCCTAAAAATAAATTAGGTAAATCTATTAGGAAAATACTATTTTTATCAACACATTTTTATTAAAATATTAATTTTTATTGTAAAAGCAAAGTACAGAAAAGAATCAGCAACTCAAATTTTTCGAAATTTCATATATACGTCGATTACGCCGCTATATATTTATAACCAATTTATTTGGAACGTTCTTATCCTTATTTCGCCGTATAACGAGTCTTTATCATACCCTTATCACACGTTGTCTGATAATGCAAATTTAATGAAAATTGCCGGTATTACTGACTTTTTGATAACTTAATTATCAGTTCTGAAATAGGCCAGTGACAATATTTTAGGGCTAAAGTTTCCTTTAAGCCAATTATCGAGATCAATTTTTTTTATGTGGGATACGGTATTGTTTATACCGCATTGCATTATATAAAAGAACAACAATAATCAGCCAAATTTATTAATAGAAACTTTAAATACCAAAAAAAATGTAATAAAACTAAAAATATATTTAAAAACACTTTTTATTTCCATCCCCTCATTTATTATTTTTTTATTAGTTTAAGAATTACTTATTTAATTTATATTAACTTAAATAAACTTAAATAAATACATTAAACATTATGGTATTAAATATTTATATGTATAAATTTATGCAATTATAAACTTTAATGAAATTTGCAAAGATAACTTTTATTTAAAAAAATGCAAATCGATTTTGGAATTACGCCATCTTCAGTGCTTATTATCCGTCAAAGAGTCTTTCAAAAAGTTTAGAGGTCATATGTAATGTTTTATATCGCCGTTAGACAACAAGTTATACAATTAGGTGAATTTTGTGTTACATTCCTCATGAAAACGATTTCTGTTTTAACACAGAGTGTGGACTTTGTCAATAGTCATTATCAATGGTTGCTGTCAATGGGGGTTGTCAAAAGTAGGAGATAAAAAAAACGACAGATACGTCGAAAGGCGATTTGGGCTAAAATAATTTGAATTTGATGTAAATAGGGTAATTTTTACCAGCTGAATAAGGATTATACAGTAAATTAATTACAGTAAGGTGGAAAATCATTGATCGGACCATTAATTATTTAATTCTAGAGAGTACATATCGATATTTTATAATGTTTAAACGTATTTATTAATAATATCGTAGGGTTAGTTTTTCATCAACTAGTGCTTATATTATTTTAGTTTTGTTCTGCCTTTTTGTATGTTCTTTTCTTTACGTCCCAATTTTGTGTGAAGCCATAAAACTCTTGCTGGTAGCTGTCGCTTTTTGGCTACAAGGAAAGTTCTAGAACAGTATTTCTACTTGTGTTAGTAAAATTACAGTGTGGAATCAACGTACATTTGGCAGACAGACACCATCAGCTGAAGTTTGCATATCAGTGCATTAGTGAGTTCTTTCCATCATGAACATTGAGATATTTATGTGACACTATAACTATAATTTAATCGAGAATAATCAGAATAACGAAGCAAGTTTGTTTGTCAACTATTTATTCGAAACATCATAGGGACCAAGTCCTATTTAACGTGTTAGATTCATTATAATATATCATAGTTTTATTGGGTATATTTGTAAATATAGGTGATCTAACACGTCATGTGCTCCTACGTCAGTATAGTTTTAGTAATATTTTACTGTTATTTATATGGTAATCCTAATTTAAGTATTTACTTGTTATTTGTGAATAACGGTTAAACATATTCTTAGAAATAATTGTCAGATTAATCATAATAAATATTGAATTATATATTCGTTGAATTTTAATTGAAAAGAATATAAAGTGATATTAAAGAAAGAGCACACTAAATTGTTTGGTTTTATCTTTGCAATTAAATCAACTAGTAAAACCATACCAATCCAAATTATCTTGGAGGACAATTGACAGTTTCAATAGATGGCAGCAAGCTCCGAGGTATCCAAGTCATGTCTGTTAGCAATCCCCTTAAAAAACGCCACTGGGATATCTAGTACTAAGACTCATTAGGCGATAAGTTGAAATTATCAGAAAATGATTTAAGCGTTAATTTAGATATATAGTATTATTGTGTTAAAAATTTCCCTATGCCAAAGACTATTCACCAGGTAAGACAGTTTTTAGGGCTTACTGGTTATTTCAGAAAATTTATTAAAAATTACGCTTCTAAAACTACTATATTAACAGATTTATTAAAAAAGGATTCGAAAAGGAATTGGACTCAGAAACATACAGAACTGGTAAACCATCTGAAGGAGGTGATTTGCTCAGTTCCCATTCTAGCCATATTCAGTCCAAAGTTAGAAACGCGTGTATACACAGACGCTATCCAAGAAAGAAATTGGAGGCATAATAATTCAACTCAATGGAGCAGAAGAAAAACCAGTAGCTTATTACGAGTACAGCAAGAAAACTTCTCCTGACGAAAGAAAGTTTCACTCATGTGAATTAGAACTACTTGCCATTGTGAGAAATTTAGAACGATTTCGAAACTATCTTTTGGGGATTCCATTTACTATTTTCACTGACAGCAATGCCGTTTAAAATGCCATGTCAAAGCAAACAATTATTCCTAGAATCGCAAGATGGCTACTCTCACTACAAGAATATAATTTTAATATACAACACAAACAAGGAAAGATGATTCAGCACGTTGATGCATTGAGTCGTAATCCAGAAATAACACAGGAAGAATATGAACTAAGTACAAAACTAATAAATGAAGAAGACTGGTTGAAAGAAGCCCAAGAACAGGATAATAATATTAAAGAAATAAAAGAAATATTATTATCTGGTGTAATGCAAAACAACAAAAAAATATTTAAAGAATTCGATGTACGTGGAAATAGAGTTTTCAAATTAACAGAAAGAGGTCGACGTTGGATGGTCCCAAAGAAATGCAGATGGCAGGTGGTTAAGCTGAATCATGATGATGTTGGTCATTTTGCGTTAGGAAAAATAGTAAAATAGATTAAACAAAGATATTGGTTCCCTAAAATGAAACATTTTGTTCGAAAGTAACTGTCTATATCATAAATCAGCAGGAGGAAAGAAACCAAGTTATCTTCATCCTATTCCAAAGTATGCCAAACCGTTTTATACCCTACTTATTGACCACCTTGGATCCTTCGTAGAAAGCAGTAAGAGAAATAGCCATCTATTAGTAGTTGTTGACGCATTTACAAAATTTGTGTTTCCCAGAGCAGTTCCGGATACAAAAACTGTTAATGTAATAAAACAATTGTCAGAAATATTTTCTATTTTTGGCAATCCCAAGAGAATAGTAGCCGACGCATGCCCAGAGGTAACGGACAAGTAGAACGAGTTAACAGATCACTATTAGATGCATTAGCTACAATGGGAGCTGACACTTCCACTGTTAATTGGGACTTAAATTTAGAAGCATTCCAACAAGGGATTAACAGTACGAAGCATAAGACAACAGAGCCTACTCCCGCCGAAATAAAGTTGGGTAATAATCTCAGAAGTCAGGCTGATCGATACGTAGACGAAGAAAGTGACAACCCAGATGTGATCGAGTTAAGAGAAAAAGCAAAATTAAAATTTAAAATTATAGAAGTTCTTTCTAATGACCGCTATAATGTTAAAGAAGATATCCATGCGAAGAGATCTAAAAATAGTGTAGCTTATATTCTGTAGAAGACATTAAGCTATTTAACCTTCGAAAATAAAATAAGAAAAAGGTAAATATAAAATTAATATGCTTTTGGTATAGAGGCCTCTAGCAACCTAAAATGTAGTTATAGTTAAGATTCACAAAACAAAGAGGTATAAAGGCCTATAGGCATGGAAATTTAGAAACTGCAGGTATAAAGGCCCACAGTGATTTTAGGTTAGAAACTGCAGGAAGGCCTACAGTGTTTTCAAAGTAATTTCAATTAGTGCTGCAGGTATTAAGGCCTCAGTGAATGACAGATTTCAAGTATCACTGCTTGGACTACTATATTCGTCTATTAGAAACCCTTAAACATTACCCATTTTATGTGTTTTAGATATTACGTCTGTTCGAGGACGAACAAACCGTAGGATGACCGTGTTAGCAACCCCTGTAAGAAACGCCACTGGGATATCTAGTACTATAAGTCATTAGGCGATAAGTTGAAATAATTAGAAAATGATATAAGCGTTAATTTAGATATATGGCATTACTGTGCGAATCTTTATACAGTTTAGTCGAGTATAATAAATAGTTGTGTTAAATAGTCGAGTTTATTGTTACCACCCTCTTCTAACATGTCGTTGATAATTTTGTTGTCTTCTACCGAGCTGTCGAATCGTTGTCGAAAATGAATAACGAATATAATTTCCCAAGTTACTAATAGATGGGCCGATATTCGATTCAGAATATTTATTTTAAAAATGAGATAAACGAGTTTATTTTATGCGATTTATTTTATTACGATTTATCATCATTTTAGAAAACTTAAACAACATTAATTTTAATTTGACAGTCTACAAAAATAAATTTAAAAACTAATAAAACTTTATGTATATAGACTTCTATACTAAGTGATCAAGAAAGCGCCAGCTCGGGCCATTTTGATGAAGTTCTGTACTTGTTGTTATTATTATTAATAATATTATTATGTGTAAAAAATTCGTCGCAACGTTCCTGGGGGTCGAACACACCCAGTACATTACGCGAAAGGCCTGGTCGTTAAGAAGATCACTCCTTACATCCTCTCGGTCAGTGATTTTTGGCCAAATTTAATTGCCTCAAAAGACGAAGGGACCCAAGGACTACCGCTTTCTGCATCTTCACCACTAGTTGTTTTGATGAGTTTCGGCAAGCCGGTATTTTTTGTAGCTTCTTAAGCATAGTGTCATTGATTCCCCCTAGAACACCCACAATTAAGACTACCATGCGTACATTATATTCTGGATACATTCTTTGCAACTCGGCAATTAGTGGAATGTATTTGGCACGCTTTTCGCTCTCCTTAATAAGAATGTTGGTTTCAGCTGGTGCAGAAAACTCAATGACGAACATTGAATGACTCTGCTTGTCCAACAGCACCAAATCGGGCTTGTTAGCTTGGAGTCTGGTTGTTGTGGGAAAAGCGTAATTCCAATAAATACGGCAACTGTTATTTTCCACTACCGCTTCAATTTCACCTGGAGCGTATGGCGAAACTGGTGTCTCATCTATATCGTAGTAATGTCTCAGATGATACATGGTTATCTTTATTTCCACTAACAAGGATGTGAAGCATAATATTATTTAAACATGCATTAATAATATAATCTATCATATCGTTCATGTTGGTTTATGCCCTAAAAAATACCTTTTTCCCGTGACTGACCAAATTCTGTACTGATAAATACGTCTTCATCCGCACAGGAAATAACGCAAAGTAATTTATTATATAACCAGTCTATCCTGTAGACAGACCCCTTTCTGCTTGTGGAAAAGCGTAACTCGTACAGAACATTTTATACTGTGATAATATTTTGACTAAAACTTATTTTATCAAAAAAATATCCTACCTGATTCGTAAAAGCGAAAAATTTCTCTTGTGTTTATAGCTACAGATATTGGTTGTCTAAGAACAGCCCTCTGTAAATTATTTTCATCGCCTTCATTTATAAAAATATGTTCCTTAGGTTTAAATACAGATTCCGATTCATTGAATGAGCAAGCTGGAGATTGTATTTCCTTATAGGGATATGCCCCTTCTCTCATTATTCCATGTTCCTCAACGTATATCATAGCATCATCCATCCAACATCCATCACAACCACCACACTCCGTAGCACAATCAACGAGGTTTTGTTCACTCAGGGAAATAAGTTTTCCTGTTTTAATAAAATATGCTCCTTCATATGCGCCAGTCTGAAAAAAAAATATTTTGTAAATATTAGCTGAATCATATTTCTGAAAAAAAGCGTATTTTTTAATTAATATTACAAAAAAAGTATAATTGACATTTAAATTGACCGCCATTTTTGCTAATCTTCATTGACAGTTTTCCTATGGTGACATATGTCAAGTAAAATCTTTGCGGTTACTTGTTTTGTAGTCAACATGGCACAACTGTCCACCAAAATGGGGAATGTTTTGCTGAAACTGCAAGAAGATGCCGTACGCATTTCGGAAGAAATTTAGTACCATCTGTTAAAGTTATTGAGACTCTTATTAAGAGATTTCAACATACTGGGTCAGTAAATGTTAACAGGCGCCCGATCAGGAGAGAACATTGCTGCGGTAAGGGCTAGTGTTGGTGAAATCCCAAAAATGTCAGTACAAAAACATTCACAGCAAGTCAACATTAAAAGATCGAGTTTGCATAACATTTTAAAAAAATATCTTACTTTAACAGCTTATAAAATACAGTTGAGTCAAGAATTAAAACCAAACGATCATATGGCACGTCATATGTTTGTTAAATGGGCGTTAGAAAGAAGGCAAAAAAAATATATTTTTTTAAAAGAATCATCTTTAGCGACTAGGCCCATTTCGAAATCGGTGGCTACGTAAACAAGCAGAATTGCAGAATATGGGGCGAGGAAAATCCAAGAGATATATTGGAAAAACCACTGTATCCAGTAAAAGTGACTGTTTGTTGTATTTTTTCCAGAATGAACGTGGTGATGCGATAACTGTGAATGGAGCGTGATACAGGACAACGATTAGAGATTATTTGTGGAACAAATTAGAAGGTATGGATGTCGAGAACATGTGGTTTCAGCAAGATGGTGCCATTTTCCACACATCCACCAAATTTCTTAAGGGAGAGAGTTGACAATCGAATAATTTCCAGAAGAGCTGAGGTTAATTGGCCGCCTAGGTCGTGCAACTTTACACCACTGGACTATTTCTTGTGGAGGTTTTTAAATGGAAGAGTTTATGCTAATAACCCTCAAACACCTAAACAGCTTCGAGTTAACATTATTCAAAAAATTTAACAAAATGTTTGCGGAAATGTTATTGAAAATTTTGGAAAAAGAATGTTAGCATGCCAAAGAAGCAGATGGGGCCACATACCGGATATCATTGTTTAATATTAACGGTAACATTTAAACTTTAAAATAATACAATAACATTATAATATTTTAAGAGTTTTTTTGTATTTTAATAATAAATTAAATCCGATGGTCAAATTTGGACACGCTTTATAATTTTAATATCCGAAAACTAGGTGTACCTACAACATAGGATATTTTAATTTCCATGTCTGCTAAATTATGTTGCTTAAAACATCTTCTCAACAAATTAGCTAGAGAGGGCTAAAATGAAAAGCAATCGGCATTAAACTTAAAATCCCAAAACTCGTCTTCAAGGTCTTCTTGGGCTGTTAAGTCGGGCTCAACTGATACTTTAAAGGCCAAAGCACTACTCGATATCCAAGATTGAATATCTTTTTCGGTTACTTGAACATCAGTATCTTTGAAGGCACCATCACAATTTAAATCTAGGATTGGTTACTGCTGCAGGGTAGAAACACGATGGAATCGTTCACTAATAGAGTTCAAAATGTATTCCAAGGACTAAGATAGCTGTGTGATTGTACCAGACAATTTAATTTTCTCAAGTTTTGTGTGCATTGATATAATACTGGGAAGAAAATATCCATATTATGTATTTTGTTCGCCTTGCAGAAAGTCAAGAGTCTCTGCAAGAGGTTTCATAATTGTTGTATATTCTGTCAAAAATAATATTTCAATTTTAGTAAAACTGGGCAGCAAATGGACATCGCAAAGTTCTGGCATCTATTCCTTTAAAAACAAAAATTTTACAGCATCATAACTGGAGTTCCAACTAGTTACACCGGGGTAACTTAGAATGCAACCTAAAATCTGTTGCATTATTTCTGCCGATTTTAGTATTCGTGCTTTATTTCACAAATTAGAACATTTGTTGAAAACTAAACAGTTTTTGCTTCTAAATTAATGTGATAATTTTAATGAATTAAGAATGCCAAAAGATGTTACAATAAGATTTGATACAAAAAATTATAATAGATTAGCTTTCTCCTGAAATAACTGTTATCAAAAAAGTGGTATTTCTTAAGTTTAACACCCTGTATCTTAGAAACCAGTCATAAAAAAGGAATGGGCCCATGGACAATATTATTTAAGAGGTCGAGAATTGCAACATTTTTGACATTTAACAGGTCACCACTTTTTCAGAAGCGGTGTGCGGGGTCCTTTCAGGTAAATTACTTACGGTACTGAATGCCCAACAGGAACCACATTGTCCTTGATCTTTAACTTCAGTTACTGCTCCCTTTTCTCTCCAGTCAAATTTAGCTGGAACATCACCATCGAATTCAACTTCAAAATTTTCAAATGTTCCATAAGTCGGTGGTTTATTCATTTTTGAACGCTTCTGTCTCTCAAGAAATTCTTCGGTGGTTAAATCTCCAAATTGATTCATTCCCATTCGGAAAGTAGATAGGCCTTGTTCGAATTTTACATTATGTTCTTCGATTTCGCGTAAATTAGCTTGAAATACCGAAAATCGGTAGGTTTCTTCAACTGAGTTTCTATATAATTTTCCATGATTGTTCTAAAAAAAAGAAAAATTAAAATAGTAGGTTAGAAGTTATTTTGTCATTTAAATACATGTCTACGGGGTATGCAATAGTATATTGTAAAAAAAACTTCAACGTGCCAAAGTAATACGTGAGACGACCTGTCACAAATCAAGCTATCGGAAATAGTAGTGTAGAGATAGTTTAATTTAAAAATAGTTCATTTATTTAAAACAGTTTTTAATTTATTATTAACGTACTATTCAATTTATTTATTACTTAAGCACTATTATAATTCGCAATTCTAATATTTTGTTACAATTTATCTTAACTATAAAACACTTCTATCGATAAAGTCGCGCTATTTATATAATAGTGTATTGGTCTTGAAAAAACTAATCCTGTTAGAAGAATTTTTAAAGCTTCCTCCACGCTTCAAACCGCCAGGGAAAATGTCGCCTATTAATACGTCCGCTGGCGCAATGCAATAAGCAAATTCCTGAAAAAGAAGGCAGTTGAAAAATGGTGATATACAATGTTAAGGTGTCAGTTTAACCCTGGAGTAGTCACAGTAGGTGTGACAGACTCCGCGCTCCGAAATTCCTCGGATATTGTCGCATTTGTTCCCCCACCACTAAGCGCATCTATGTAGCTTATTGATCTGTTAGGTAGTTGGATATCTCAAGTGATTGTGGAGGGTCGTGCAACTCGTTATCTGTCAAAAGTCATCTCTAGTTCCCTAGACTCCAGGCGACTACTTATGTTTTACTTTTTCATTTGATTACTGGTAGGTAGGTCTATTTTTTTTCTATTACACATCATTATAATTATTAATTTCTAGTTTTAAATGGACTATCGAAAGGAGCAGCAAAGATTGATGCGCCTCTAGAAAGAAGTTGATTCTAAATAGGTGCCAATTGATGAAGATTCAGATCAAGATGAGGATGTTGTGGGATATAGATTTGAAGGCAGTGATAACGTTGAAGAAGATGACTCATCCGACGATGATAGAAGTCCCGTTAGAACCCTAGCAAACATTTCTAGAGCTTCGTTTTATTTGGGCAAAAACAATACCACAAAATGGAACAAGCATGATCCAAATCAGGCAGTAAGAACTCGATCCTGGAATATAATAGGTCAACTTCTTGGTACAAGAGGTATTACTAAACAAGCAAAATGTCCTTTTGAGTGCTGGAATCTCTGCATCAATGATAAAATATTTGATATCATTTTAGAGCATTAAAATTTCTACATAGCAACAAAAACTCAGAATTACAAAAGAAATAGAGACTGCAAGGAAACAGATAAAATTGAAATAAAAGCCCCTGTTGGTTTACTATACTTGTATAGGTTACTAAAAAGCTCCAAGTTGAGCGTTGACGAGATATGGGACAGAAAGGGAACCGGAGTAGAAATGTTCCGGCTCACAATGTGCAAGCAACGATTTCTATTTCTCTTGAGCCATTTATGTTTTGACGATTGTACTACCAGACAAGAGAGAAAGAAAACAGATAAGCTAGCGCCAATTCGAAAAGTCTTTGATATATTTGTATCTAGTTGTGAAAATCATTATTCTATTTCACAGAACGCGACAATAGATGAAATGCTTCTTGGTTTTTGTGGTAGTTACGGTTTTGACAATATATACCTTCTAAGCCAAACAAATATGGGCAGAAACTTTCCTCGTTGATTGATTGAAAAATGTTTTATGCTTTGAATCTAGAATTATATGTTAGACAATAATCTGCTGTTCCTTTCCGAACAAACAATGACGCTATGAGTATTGTTGTGAGTCTGGTAGCCCTCATTTCCGGAACATCAAGAAACCTTACCACTGATAATTGGTTTACCTCTGTGCCATTAGTCGAACATTTGCTGAGATAGCATAAGCTGACTTTTGTGGGCACGATTCGGAAAAATAAAAGTGAAATACCTTGTCGTATATGTTCATATTTATAAGTCAGCGTGGCAACCGGGCTTAACCTGTACATCGACGACATGCAGAGTCCGTCAGTTGGTGGTAGTATCAATGTGAATTGTAACGTAAACATATAAAGCGGTGAACAATAAAACCTAACACCTACTAGAGACATGGTGCCTTTTATTAACTATTAATCTTAAGAATTACATCTACACCCTCAGTAACATACATAACATACCTAAGGAGTTTGTAAAGGTCAAACATCGTGTATTAACATTAAGCATGTTTGAATTTGGTGAACACATCACGATTCTGTCCAATATTCAAAAAAAGGGAAAGAACGTTCTTGATCCTGCTTCTTGTGATAAAAATAAACCTGAGATAATAACTTTTTATAATTGAACGAAAGGAGGCGTTGACTCTGTGGATCAGCTTTGTTCACTGTATGATGTTGCACGATTTACCAGACGCTGGCCCGTGGTTATTTTTGTTTTTGCATTTGAACATCGCAGGGATAAACAGTCAGGTTGTTCATGTCTCTAATCACCCTGATCCAAAATTCGATTTGAAACGGAGAATATTTCTAAAACAAATAGCACTGACGTTGATCGATGAACATCTGCACAGACGCTCGTATCAGAAAAATGTACAGGAAACTGCTGTCAAAGGCGACAAGATGTAGCAGGAACTTCTGAGGCTACATCCAACGTAGAAGAGATACCAAAAGGCATTCGAAAATATTGTTCGGGGTGTAAAAATAAAAATAAGTTTAGGGTCTATTGCTAGAAATGTAAATCTTTCGTTTGTTTGAAGCACGCGAAAATGTACTTTCCGTGCAAAAATGCCATCCTGGAAATAAATTTCCGTTTTGAAGAGGTTTGATTTAATTTTCTGTTTCTTCGGGCTGTCAACAGCTCCATTTTCCTATTTTTTCTTATTTTAGATAGGTACAAATAAGAAATTCTTATTTTATTTCAAGTATTTTGACTGAATAAAGCTCTGTGTTTTCCTTGATTATTTACTATAAAAATAAAAATAACAAACTAAAGAAATGTCTACCAAATCTTAGGTCTTCATCTTTTATAGTTTCAAATTCATTTCAAACTAAAATTAAAAGCAATTTAACTCTCACCTTAAAGAAAATCTACATAGTTTTAAAAATAAATTTAGAAGTTAAAAATAAATTATTTTAAAAATAATTTGAATCTACGAATTTTATTAACTTATTAAATAAACTTTAAAAAAGTCTCAACTAGAATCTCTATAACTCATTATTCTTATTAATTTAAAATCACTTACTTTGAAATGTGTCCATTGTTCATGAACACCTAAAGCAGAAACAGTTGCCAAAATAGCAATAAAAATGGAGACGCTGCACCTCATCTGAAAGAAAACAAAAAAACTTTAAAAGAACTATAGTATAGTGATGAGTAATTTTATATTTTAAAAGACGCTAAATTGGTAGTTCCCACCTTATCAAGACTACGGTCCACAGGGGTAAATTCGTAGTTTAAAAAACGAGAAATAATTTTAATTGGAACGAAAGACCGAAAGTCAATAGTAGTATAAAGATATGTAAAAAATTAACTGAAGAAGTACAGGTATATTACAAAAATTAAATTAGGGACAGTAATATTGAACGTAAGGATATAAATATTGTTACAAATAAGTTAGCTAGATAAATTTAAATTTAAACAGGATTTTAACCACAAGGCAGGATCTCTTCAGTCTCAAAATTGGCATTTTTTAGATAAAAAAAAAAAGGATACACAAGTACATAAAATAATTTATTTTACTTTAGTGTTTTCTGTAATTTAACCCAAATTGTAATACTTCCCCTATACAGTAGATGGAGATAAATATTTTATACGAGATTATCATATAATATAATTTTTAGTGGAAATGTTAGTTACGACGTCCTGCGTTGTGGTCCTCAAAATTGTTAAAGATAAAGACTTACATAGTTAAATATTAGAATATTACCAGGAAATAAATAAGAGTATTTGTCTAGCTCAGAAAACATTAAAAGGTTGATTTGGAGAATTAAATTCAAAAATTCCGAAATTGGATGGTACTCACAATAATACAAAACAATTAATTAATTCTAATGAAATCTAAGACGCTTTATTAGATAAGCCCGGTAAAAGATTATTAACAACTTTTGTTTTAAAAACGCGTTCAGAAACAGCAAAAGTTAGATTAAATTAAATTTAGCTTTAATTATAAATTTTAGCCTCGCCGACACATTTATAAAAAATTATGACATGCTATATACGGCATGTGCTGTACATTCGAATTGTTATTCTAATTCGGCTTCGTAGTCAACGTGTTAAGTCTGTCCATGTAAGAATATATTATTCATTTTTCCATACCAATATAAAAATAATAGCTTATTTATACGTTAAGCCTGTCCTTATAAAAACATTTAATTTCTTTATCACTTAAGTCTCTCATATCAAAATATTTTAATTCCTTTATCACTTAAGCTTACCCATGTAAAAATAGATTTGACTTTTTAAACCGCCAAATCTTTATCTTGTACACCTGTCCATACAAAAATATTTCCCCCCTTACCCCTTAAGCTAGACTTTTAAATAGTTAGGTTGAACGGAATATTCTGAAAATCAATAGGGTTCTGAGAGCAATTATTAAAAAAAAAATCAACAGCGCAAGTCAATGGGGCTTTTCTTTCTAGAGTTATCGCGCCGACACATATACGCACAGACAACCACATAATTTTTTTTTTTCATTTTCGAACTTAGAATGATCGGAAACGTGAGAAAAGTCTTAAACAGAGGGGGTAAAAATAGAAAGGGCTTTATTAATATTTAATTACTCTATATACAGATATGTAAATAAAAAATCTGCAGTAGTGTGCAGTAGTCATGCGTCATTCCCTTCTGACCAATACAAATTAGATAGGGAAATTACCAAGTGAGATACATCTTTGAAAAGATAATTTTATGGGAAATTTGGCAATATTAATTGCGTTACTTTTAAGTTTAGAGACCCCTAGCAGAATAAAAACTGTTACGTATTCTAAAGTGTGACACTTCATGTCAACGCTAAAATTTTATTAGTAATTTAATTCACAATACAACAAAACATACCTTAGTGAAAGATAAACTTAAAAAATTGAAAAAGATTGCAGATCTCTAACGTTAAAAAATTATAATCGATAATATCAATCAAATTAACAAATATTTATGGTACGCATTAGATTACTTATATAATTAGTTTTAAAATAAAAAATCACACTTAACAATACGTATCAGTTTTTATCTAGCTTGATAACTCTAATACAATGAATAATCATATTGTTCGATTCTCCATAAGATTACCTTTTCAATAATGTGGCATACCTTTATTATTGGGCATTACAAATAAAACAATTGTCTGTAGGGAGGTTTGGTATGTCTAAAGGGTTGGGACATGCGATATATTCTAACTAAAATACGCGAATTAATAGTTGATTTAATTTAAATATTTTATTTCGAATGTGTATAATAAAAATATTATTAATAAAAAAACCCTCCTTGTACATTTTCTATAAATTAGCAGGCTTAGTGACTAGTATATAGAATAAAAATAGCTATCAAGACGGAAAGCTATCTCGCAACCCCCTTAGATATACGAGCACTTGACACTGACAGCTATTGTTTAACAGGTCATTGGGAATGTCTAATGAGGGATAACAGGCGAAGTATCACCACCAGATGGCAATTATCAAACCTGAGGTCAATGCTAAAAGTCACTTTCATGTAGATGATGTGAGGGACCTAAAATATTGGCTAAAATAAAGATGTGTTAAAGTGACCTAAACTGAGCATACTTAAGAACCATCTATTTTTTGAATAAAATGAAAAATAAAATTATTAACATTTTAAAATAAAAAAGTGTTTTGACAGGTCATTCCATAGATCTCGCGTTACAGGAGCGCCATATGATGATTAATAAAATATTAACCCTCACTAAAATAAAATTCGCTAGAATGACAGAGTGGGAGGAATGACGCATGACAGTTATTGATGTGATAAAAAGATGTCACCCTGCCAAGCGAAATCGTCGTATCTGAACATTACTATTTTACATCTCACGAAAAGTGAAAAAATTAGGTACGTTGGACAACGCAAGTAGCATGTTTCGTGGGCGGAACGTGGCTACCACGACTTTAGAAACTTCAAAGTGTATTGCCAAAGTTTCTGCCACGTAATAGACACGGTTCTACCACGTGGCGGTAACCAAAATGGGGAACACTTTCTTGGTGGCAACCACGTTCCAGCCTCGTTTCCGGAACTTATATAATCACGTTTAAGCCACGTGGCGAAAACGTGGCGATTGTGGCGATTACGTGGCGAAAACGTGGCGGCACATTGGCCGACACTCAATGCTGAACTTTGCTTACTGCCCTTGTCTTTTGATTGATATTTGTAGCTCGGTCTTCGTCCTGCAAATAATTTCTCCCATTCTCCTTGCTTATTCTCTAACTTGACATAACTAGTAAACTAATAAGTAGATACATACTAAATAATATTAATAAGGTGTTATAGAAATATTTATTTAGGAATTCTGATAGGCAAAAAGTTGGAACTATTGAAAGTTTACTGTCAATATAGGTGTTGTAGCTTGAAATATGGGCACGCGCTATTGGAATACTCTATATTTAATTAAAAAGTTAAGATCTGTAAATTTTTCATCTTCTAAATTATTTATTTAGATGCCTTTAACAGTATTTTTTATCAATCTTGGTTAACTAAAATCATTAAATATATTTGAATTTTATTACATTGAAGATATACGGACAAAAAAATAATTTTTTTAAATAGCACCTTTATATTTTCTCATAATGGCGATCTTAAAAATGGTTACAAATATGTCTGCTTCAGGAAAAAACTTTAAAGTTGCAGAAACTAAAAATATGCTACTTTGTAGTTACTTTCATCAAATAAGTGGCAGCTGGAACTAATCCAAAATATTTTTCACTACTTCAAAGTGGCGATTACGTGGCAGCCACCTAGAGTTTGCCACCATAAAGTTAATTATTTACATTTTTGCCAGATCAGCCATTTCTCCACTTATTTTAGAGTTTTTGAGTTGTTTAATAAGGCCAATGTGAGGACGTAAAATCAAATTTACCTTAAATTACAAATATGTCATCAATCAACCTATATTAAGGTAATGTAAATTTAAAACAATTTTAATCTCTAATAGCGTAAAACGGCTTAATCAAATATTAAGGTACAGTATATTTGGAGTCACATAGTAAAAAATATAAAGGGTTCCCCTTTTAATTCGCAAAGTTGATACTTATTAGTCACCTTTCTGGTTACCGTTTGTTTATCTCAGTAGTAATTTCTAGTAAAGCCTTACAACTTATGTATTTAACAATTTATTTTCTCTTTTAATAAACGTTTTAAGTGCCGTTCTAAAAATAACTGAACACCCTGTACAAATATAGTGTATATTCAAAAAGATTATTGGAAAAATTTGTAGGTATACTATATCTTCTCAGAGAAATTGCGCTCTAATGATATCGCTGTATTGTAGTTGTATTATTCCATATAACCTTAAAATTTACAGTAAATTTCGTCGGTTAAATTTGTTTATGTCACAGATCACTTAAATTTATGTATTTAATGTTTTATACGGTATAAAAAATAAAAGGTAGGATATCAACAGTGTCAAAAATAGGACAGCCACGCGCATTTCGTCGCGCGTAGAGTTTGTATAGGCGCGAATTCAAAAATACTGACTGAGTGTGAGGAAAATATATACGATTTACAGAAATTTCATGAATAAAAAAGGATAATATTTAAAAAAATTAAATGAAATAACTAAGGATATTATTATGGGATAGTTTTCGAAATAGCTATGACGGGAACATAAATGCAAATACATAAAAGAAATATTTATTTTAAGTAACAGTTTTTTTTTTAATGTTTCTTTTTAATGATTTTTTTGTTATACAAATTCGAATCCAGGTTTTTAATTTTGAGAAACATACGACTTCTAAAGAATGACCAGGCTGATGGGAAGGGAATATTCGCAACTCGGAACTTCCCAAATTTTTACCTGATTAGGATTCGCAACTGGTGACTCATTTACCTGCATTATATTGCGCAATTTGAATATACTTAACTACCTACTTTTTTTATAAAAAAGATGGGATTTATGTATGAATAAGATGAAAACAAAAATAGGTTTTAAAAAAATATTTTCCATTAATATAATATAATGCAGAGCATAAAAATAATGTACCAAATACAAGTTACTACATGGTGGGTACATACACAAAATTAAAATAAATTGTCACTGCATTTTCCTGGACTTAGTCGCTGACAGATTTTTAAATCATTTATCAAATACAAGTCGAAATTTTCTTC